ATATCAGGATGTTTTTCGTTCTTTCAGACACTAAAATTTCAATGCTGCTATTTACCTTATTTGAGCTTCCCCTGTACCTTTTCCTGCAGCATTTTGCCAGCTAAAGCAATGCAGTAGGTCATGCATTTTGTAATTCTTTTTGTTTGTGTGAGTACATTTCAATCAACCTGGAAGCTCCTCCTACTGCTAGGTAATTCCTGAGTAGTTACTACAAATACACGGTGTATTTCTGGGGCCATGCAATGATTCAGCCTGAGACAGCTTAATGCTTTTCTCTTGTAACCCAATGCTGGCAACTTCATTGAGGGTATTAAGACCCAAATCCAATCTCGAGTCAGGTCAGTTAGTCCTTCTGCTCATTTTTTCAGTCAGCTTTTAGTTATAATCTCCTACTTTTGTTCTTTTTCTGCCACTTCTATTATGGTGTAAAGATTAAAATATTTAAAAACTGGCTTTGTTTGGCTTTATTCCAGGCAACTTATGTCCAAGTGCTAATCAGGCTGGATTTTTTAGCTTGGCCCATTGCAAAGGACAAGACAAGTCTGAATTTGTCTGATTTTTTTTAGACTAGTGGTGATATTTTTATTGGGTTTTTTTAACATTATTACCTTTTTCTCTTTCTGGAGGCACGCTGAATTGGCAGGTGAGTTCTCAGTGGGAAGTGAACAATGGATAAGTAGGCCTTTTTTCTGTAAAAAGTAAGTTTTTCCTGTTTGACCAATCTGAATTAACTTGAGAATCACACTTCATCGAGGAAGAATTTAATCAACAGTGGTGTCACCTCCCACCCTCTGGAAGAAGTTGGTTTTCTTTGCCACACTTGACTTCTAGTGCTGTTAATTCATTGTGTGTTGGGTGATTGATCACCTGGATCTTGCAGGAAGCTTTTGCCCCCAGGCTTGGAGGCTTGCACCCCCACCTAGCCTCCAGAAGGGCTGTATTTCCCCAGAAATGCTCAGGATGCATCTCAAAAGAGTCCATGAAGTTCCTTTCATGCAAAGATCAGGTGATTTGTAAGAATATTTTCAGGATGAAGATATACATCTGAGAATGGTAGTTGCAGACTAGGACTTCTGTGGATGTAATAAGTCTGTTTCACTCTTCTCTTTGAGCTGTAGCCAGGGAAATGGCAGTTACCTGTGCCTTCTGTGCAAGCTGAGGATGCTCATGTTTTTCAGCAGTTTACCTCTTGTTTCAGTGTAGAGCCTGAACCTTTTCCTTGGGATCTGTGTCTGCTGACAGGAGCAGATGAGCCAATGTAAATGTCTGGACTAGGTTGCCTTCCAATTTATTCACTGCACTAATGTGAACTCCTCTTAGGTTTTTGTTCTTCTTTGGCTGCTTAGCTCAAGTTTGAGATGAATGGCTTAGTGCATTAAGGGTGTTTAAATGACTGGCAAATGCCAAATTCTATCCAGAAGAAATAATAGATTAACGTACTTAATTACAATGGTGTTTCTAATGGCAATTGCTAGGAAGTAAATACAAGCTCTCAGTTCCACAATGATGCTGTCTTTGAGACTGTTGCTTCTGGTAACACTAGAAGATAAAGGTCCTCATGGTGACATTCATAGCTTGAAAATCAGAGTGATTTCTAAGCTAAAATAATATTGGAGTGGTGGTGCAAAAAGCCATGCTTGGATTTTAAGACTGTTGCTTTTTAAATTTATTTAATGTACTTTAAGTCATAAATACATTTTTTTATAGTCTAATATCCTTGAGTTTGCTTTTTCCTTGTCTGTGTTCATCTATCCACTATGCAGACTGGAGAAAGATATGTAGCAACCTGTGAATTTTTCTGTAATGCAGCTTAGGGTTGGGAAGCTGGTGGATAGAGGCAGAGAAGGGAGCACAGGGAGGCAGAGATGATCCTGAGCAGCACAGTAAGCCGTGGTCTCAGCAGGTCAGCTGTGCTATCAGATGGTCCCAACACGTGCCTGTCTCCAGAGCAGTTGTGGGAAGCATCACTGAATATGCAGGAGGTAAATTGCCACAGAACAGTCAGGGACAGGGCAGAGATCAAGCCTTGCTTTCCTCCTGACTGGCCTGAAGTCATGCAGAGTTAATAATGTAACAGTGTAGATGTTTAGCTCAGACTCTTGTATCCTGTGCTCAACACAGAGCCTGTACTGTCCATCTTTCCAGGGAAAAGGGTTCCTGAATCACCTGCCTTTGGAGGGCCACATGCCTTGGGAGTCACTGGCCATTGCTGAGCATTGTAACCAGCCAGTTCCAACTCTAATGGCGGAGATAGGGCAGAGGAAGAATTAATTCTCCTGGGTGAATAACTGCCAGCCCATGACAGCACAAGGAAATGATGCAGTGACATACTCATTGAGTACCACTTAACAGGAGCAAAACCAAGAGCAGCAAGACTTATACAGCAGCTGTCTGCATACAGGGTTGAACCTGGGACAACAGACCTGAAAAAAAGCTTGTAAAGAAAAGCAAGAGCAGCTAAACACTTTTGCAATCCACTGGTTTCCTCTCAGTCAGCTGCAGCAGTGGAAGACAGAGTCTGTGTAAAGGGGCAGAGGCAGGTGCTTTGCACCATGTCAGCAGCTTTGTGGGTGCAAGGCAGGAACAAGGTGGACCGTGGATTTGGGCCAAATCCTTCAGGCTAGCTTGCAGGCTTACATGAGTCAGACAATACTAATTTTACTTTTGGTGAGTACAGAGTTGCTAAATACCTGCCAGGAGCTTCAGTGTAGGACTGTGTTCTTCCCGCCCTCCTTGTAAAACAACTGAAAGTACTGCCTGGTGCTTTGGGAACAAGAGGTAGGGGAAGCTTTCCATGCTGCTAATCCATATGAGACCCTAAGTTTTCTGGCCCTACTCTGTACACAGTAGGACTGAACAAATCCAGCAGGATCACTGCCATATCTCCTCCATAAGTGCTTTACCTTAAATCAAGTGTCTAGCTGACGTGTGTATCCTCTTTGGTTACCTTAAGGTTGTTAATAATATCAGCTGTTGCTTACAGGGTGGCTTATTCATTATGGATTAGGTGTCCTGCATATCTTCTGTTATGGTATCATCAGGCAGTTGCAAAAGCTATTCATTACAGACAGTTTGGACCACTCTCCTCTAAGACTTGCCAGGGCAGTTTGACAGCAGGCAGGACAGTGGGTCTGGAAGCTGTCCAGGTACCCTGTGTGGGCACTTCTGCCTTGGAGCAATCTGTCCCTGCCTGCATTACATGAGATTACATCTCTCACCCTTCCTCAGTCCCAGCTTGCCCAAGACCTGTGTTGCCATGTACATCAGGGCTCAACTCGGACCCCTCAACAGTCCCTTGCATTTGGGGACATGCTGTGAACCCCTTTACAAGCTGTCCTTGCAGTGCCACTGCTGGTTTTGTTTATATGGAGACAGTTCCCAGCCATTGTGGCCAATGAATGGAAAAATGTTTCAGCCTTTTCACAATATAGACTTCAACTTTTTGTGCTGCACTTGACTTAAATAATTGAGGCTCATCTTGATAGTAGTTGGACCAGGCACTAGCTAAAGGTTTAATTTGTAAGTTTGCATTTTAGAAATCACGTACAAGGTTCAAAAATTCATCCTAAGGCACAAGAACATAACTAGAGATCAGGAGATCAGCACAGGGAAGCAATGCTGGCTTACAAGTGGGCTCTCCCTAGGACATGGATGGAATTATTTCATCTGACTTTAGAGTCTGCAGTGTTAATATTTGTAGTACTGCAGGGTAGATCATTGCAGTTCATGGGGAGAAATGCGTGCTTTTTGGTAAAGTTCATCTCATCTTGTGATCTTGATGTTTAAGACAGGTCTGATAAAAATCATGATTTCTTTTTTTTTTCTGCATCAACTACCACAGTCTAGATGACAAGCTCTGAAATAAGTCTGAAGAGATAAGTGTCACCCTGGTGTTGCCTTTTTAGTAATTTTTGTTGGGAATTGCAATAAATGAGAATTTCAAGAAAAATTTGAGACCAGTAAGGTAGTTCGCCAGATGTTCCTCTAACACATGGAGAGAAATTTGCCAAAATATAAAAGCATTCTACTTGGGTAATTTGAGAGACTAATAAGGGGTTTGACATGGGAATATGCTGTGAAGGCTGGAAGTAAAAAAAAGTTTGTCTGTAGTTTGAGAGCTACAAACAGCTTGTAAGAAAATGGTCTCAGTGGTCCATCTGCTTGTCGACAGCACAAGTCTCCCATGCCATTTGATATTCTCCCCCATCAGGATTGGGGTTTTTTTAATTTCTCACCTGTCAGGAGAGTCTGGCATATCTCTGCATGTTTTTGTGGTGTTTAGATGAGCTTTAATGTTGTGGTACTACAAGTTCTATAGTAGCCCTTGTTCAGGCCTTCTCCTCTCCTGTCAGCATCCAGAGGGCGGTGAGGCCCTGGCACAGGGTGCTCAGAGAAGCTGTGGATGCCCCATCCCTGGAAATGTTCAAGGCTGGGTTGGATGGGGCTTGGAACAACCTGGAATAGTGGAAGGTGTCCCTGCCTCATGGCAGGTTGGAGCAAGGTGACCTTTCAGGCCCTTCTAACCCAAACCATTCTGTCACTGTGATTTTCCCAGGATGTTGGACTGGTGGTTTGTGCAGGTTTTGTACCTCTTGGCAGTGGTACCTTGTTGATTAGTGTGAACTTTTTGGTTGCTTAAGAAGGCACTGAGCAAAATTCACAGAAGGAAAATCCGACCATAAATACCCATTTTAGTTTAACTGTGGTGAATTAGGGTACAAATTTCCACTTAGATGAATGTCCGGTGCTCCCTAGCAGAAGAAAATTCACTTTGTTTATACAGTTTCATTAAAGCCTTCACCCAAGACCTGCTTGCAGCTGTAGAGCAGGGGCCTGCTGAGCCAATTTAGGTAGGTTTTGACTAAAACACGGCTCTGATTTACAGGCAGCAGCTTGATGCAACATGGCTTCGTGAAGCCATGCCTGTCATCACCTCCTGCTAACATCCTTTCCACTGATTGACCATCTTTGTAACAAAATGTTCTTCCTGGTTTGCTTAGGGTGAAGAAACTGAAGGAAACATTTGCTTTTATACAACAATTGGACAAAAACATGAGTAACCTTCGCACCTGGTTGGCCCGGATTGAGTCTGAGCTTTCCAAGCCTGTTGTTTATGACATCTGTGATGACCAAGAAATCCAGAAGAGACTGGCAGAACAGCAGGTGGGAAATAGCAGCAGCCAGAGTAAATGAGCTAAAATGCTGCTGATTGGTATAAAATCACCTGTTTCTTTTCTTTAGCGAGCCCTTCTGACTGTTTGCTTTGCATGGCGTGTTCCTGCCAAGATGCATTACATGGGAAATCTTCATTTGCTTGCAGTAATTTCAGTATTGTGTTGAATTACCCCCACATCTCCCTGCCCCCCTTCACCCAAGGAAAACATGCAAAACACGAACAAAAGCAAATTTGCTCAGTTCAGTTCAGCAGACTTCCTGAGGACTAGGCAGGGCACAGACAGTGGGCAGAGTACATGAGGATGACTTAGACTGACAGGGCGTGAATGCTGCTCTCTGCAAAGTGGCCGTGACAGATCCAAGTGCTGGGATTTGATGCATTGCCCTGACTGGCTCCAGTTCTTGTCCCTTCCTTGCAGACAGCAGAGCAAGCTTGGCAGAGCAGGATGCTTGAGCTTTGGAAGGTGGATTCGTGCAGACACAACTTTGGCTGAGGTTTGATCCAGAGGCAGGCTCTGAAGGTCCCTCAGGGCTGGGAGAGCTGGCACGTGAATCCTGCTGAGACAAGTGTGAACCAACCTCACACTGCTGGGTGGTGGTGGGCATTTATCCAGGGCAGTGAGTTACCAGGGGCATCCTAGGAGAGGTGTAAATTTCTCTAGCCAGCAGCCAGGCAAGGAAAAGAAACTTCTCCAAAGTACAGACTTGCTGGTGGGGCCATCCTTTGCTCAGGGCTGTGCTGTAAGTCTGACCAGGTTCTAAGGGTTGGCTGTCATCTAGCCTTTGTGCTAAACAGCAATACTTGCCCAAAAACTAAAGATCAAGTCTGTCAAGTTTGGAAGCTTGCAAGCTTTATGGCATCTGCCTTTAGGAACACTTATTGGTATCCTTCCCATCCTTTCCATCTTTTCTCTCTGGCTTCTGTTTTCTGTCTAAGGATCCCTGAGTGACACAGACCTGTGTTCTCTGTTCTCTGCTGGTTGGTGTGGCTGTCCATGTACTCATGTCTGAAATGTCACATGAAGGGCCAACTCCTCTGTGGCAGGATTGGAAGTGGCTCCCACTGACTGCACTGAAGGAGCTGGTCAAGCACCAGAAGCCTTGGCCCAGCACCTGTCATGGTTTCATCTGCATTGTGAATGGTCATATAAACAACAAAGAAATATTTTCTTTTCGTTCAAACCTTTTGCATTCTCAAAGACTGTGATAAATTGCCAGGCAGAGAAGAGCATGGAGCACAAAGGAATTGTGTCCAAATTAATTAATTTTTATTATGAGCTTTCAATCTTCAGCTGGCTATAAGAGCCATCATTTGCTGCTCAGAGCTACTTACTGCTTCATTTTTTGGATACTCTGGGCACCTCTAGATTCCTTCTACAGTAGCTTTTTAGCAGGCTGAGTATGAGAAGACTGTGCTGACTAAAAAGACCACAATAAAAAGAAAAGCTGCTTTTGCTCTGCATTAGTGAAACATTTATCTGAATGCATCAAATAAAATGATTTTTCCTGGTTTTATCTGAATAATTATTTCAGCAAGGGCAGAGCAATGGTGACAAATATGCCCTACAGGCTTCTTTTATTTGACACCCATGACTGGAAAAGCTTTACCTGTACAGTCTTGAATAATGAAATTTACAAGTCTTGTGTATCCACAGAGGTGCTTTATGGCATGTTTGTTCAATTAAGGGATGACAATTACAATTTGAATAATATTAAGATTGCAAAGGTGTTTCACTAATGCAAAAATTTAACAGTGTGTAGTCTGTTAAAGCTCTCTGGGCAATGCTATGCAGAGTTGAAGGAATGGTACCTTTTGAGGCTCCATGTGTATTCCCCACCCTGTCTCTTCGTTTGTTGTGTTTGTCTCACTTATTGCAGTCAGGTCATTTGGAAAACAGCAAGGATTCTGTCTGGGCTATTCCCTGAACCCAGGCGTAGCCTGAAGTAATGAGATCATGTCAGCAACATTACCATAGTGCAAGTTAGAATTTGTTTGTAATCTGTGGTCAGAATTCTCATTTTCACTAATACACCTGTAAATCCAGTAGAATTTAATGAATTCAGAAGAGACTCTCCAGGTGCCAGTAGTGAGGCAGAGCCTGCTCCCAGCTGTGGAGCCTGTGTTGAAAAGACACTGATGCATCTTGCTCAGTAAATAGCTGTGAATGCTTAGTAACCTGTAAAAGTTTTTGTTGGGTTTCCTTCTGTCAGTCTCATCCATGTAAAGAATTTCACTTCTACAGTCTTTAAAGCTGTTCATTACTACAAATCCTACAAGCCATATTTTTGACCATTTATGGCTCAGACCTTAATTCAGGCACTCATGTAACCACTGAGCACTGCCACTGAGTGATTCTCAACTCCTTGCAGCTTATTGACTTCTGCCAAAAATCTTCCTTTAACTCATTTTGTATTTACTAAAAGCTGTGTCTGTTTCAGAGGGATTTGTTTTATTTTGTTTGGGTTTTTTTTTTTAAGTCTAGAGCAAAAGCTGTCTAGAGCAAAATTCTGCTTCATCTGTTGACTGAAATCAGTAAATACCATTTAATGGGAACTCCAGTTCACTTTTGTCAAGAAAATACTCGTTTGTTTTTGTTGCTCTAGTGTTACTCAAGCAAAAGTCTCTGTATCCTTCATTATAAAAGCCAGAAATGGGTTGAAAAATGGAATTGTAGTGGCTATTGTAATTTTATTAATATTTAGTTGGTAGCATAATACAGATCTACCTTTCAATAAGAATTATTTAGATAAGGCTTTTTTTTCTTTCTTTCAGTTACACTGACTTTAAGAGTAGTGATGGGTACAGGATGAAAGACTGGACTATTGTGAATTTGCAGGCTCTGGAAAAGAAACCTGTAGTGTAGATTAGACAAAAGGTCTTTGCCAGACCCTTTGAAACAGTCTGTCAGAACAGGAGCCCTACAAGAGGGAATAAGAAAATTAGTGTAACATCGGGTACTTGTGTACTGTGCTTGTGTTTCGTGCTGCAGCCTGTGATCAGTCACTAAAATGCACAGTACTGCATGAGGAGTTACCTGAAGACCCTTTCAGTGTAGTAACCTGAGATGAGACAGTCATCTTGTGCTGTCAAAATTAATAAGAATTTATTTATGATATAGGTAAGGTTTGGATTTTGAATGCACATTAAAATTGTCCAGACATTAATGAGAAGATTGAGTTTAGACTGAGACACCAAAGGTGGACAGTCCTTTTTTTGCATGGCAGTTCTCTCCTGACCTGTGTCATCTGCACAGTTCATCCTGCAGGTCTTTCCTAAAGCTAAATAAGCTTTTCCTGACATGAGAGTTGCTCTTTCCCCATCCTCTGGTGCATTTTGAAGGGCATGGCTGAGATGTAGGCAGACACATTTCCTTCCACTGACGCTGTTCTTTTGCTGATGGCAGGACCTGCAGAGAGACATAGAGCAGCACACGGCGGGCGTGGAGTCCGTGTTTAACATCTGTGAAGTCCTGCTACACGACTCAGATGCGTGTGCTAATGAGACAGAGTGTGACTCCATCCAGCAAACCACCAGGAGCTTGGACAGACGGTGGAGAAACATCTGTGCCATGTCCATGGAAAGGCGAATGAAGTACGTCTCCTATTCTTACCCTACAGAAGCCTGTGGCAGAATTTTGAGGAAACGCTGTGGCATTTGCCACAAGCTGAATTTTGAGAAGTAAAAAAGAATCCAGAGTTGATAGCTTGTGATAAAACCCTTCTGTTTTTGCTCTCACAGAATCGAGGAAACTTGGCGTCTATGGCAGAGGTTTTTGGATGACTATTCCCGCTTTGAAGATTGGCTAAAAGCATCTGAAAATATAGCAGCTAGGCCTAATTCTTCAGAGGTCTTGTACACACATGCAAAAGAGGAGCTGAAGAAATTTGAGGTGAATTTTTTAACTGCATTTTCTGTGCTTAGCATCAGGCTGCTGAATACTTATTGTCTGTGCAAAATGCCTGAGTCTCTGGAAAACACTGGTTTGGCCCTGATACTATAGAGAACATAAATAATTTGGTGAGTGTGCAGCTGCTAGGTGTCTGTCTCCATAATTTTTTTTAATGTGGAGAATACAATGCTCTGAACAGATACAAGTTTAAAGCCTTGCTTTTTATAGGCAGGAGACTTTTGTAGTTTGATATTTATTCTTTTATTGTTTTTCCTAGCGAGCTAAGTTTGAGCAGATGGTTTAAAATACGGGTCTCAAAATCTGGATTTAGTTTTGCAGTTGGAAGGTCTGTTTTTAAGGGGGAGGGCATCATCTCTCGATGGTTAATATCCACATCCTGAGTGTTAGCAGGGAATGAGCTCTGCCTTGCCTTGCAGGCGTTCCAGCGGCAGATCCACGAGCGCCTCACGCAGCTGGAGCTGATCAATAAGCAGTACCGGCGCCTGGCCCGCGAGAACCGCACCGACTCGGCCAGCAAGCTCAAACAGATGGTGCATGAGGGCAACCAGCGCTGGGATAACCTCCAGAAACGAGTCGCTTCCATCCTCAGGAGGCTCAAGGTAGTGGCACAGTGGGGTGAGGGAGTGAGGAGAACTCGCAGGGCTCTGCAGGAATTACCCACAAAAGCCTCCATCAGGGCAACTCTCTCTGTCCTGAGCTACCAGCCTAGCAGAGGAGCTCTGGAAAGGTCACTGAGTACATGGTGTAAACCTGACCTTGGTAGATTGGTTCTTGGTAGCTGAAGAAAAGCTTAAAGGAAGGAGGAGTGCAAATTTTGGGAGGTCAACTGCAATACTCACTGCTCCTGTCACACTTTCCTCTTACCCACTTGTAATGGGTGGATGTGTTGATGCACTTGCACCTTTCCATAGATAAGAGGCAGAGAGACAAAAGGCCCCCAAGTGCAGATATGGTTTGGAGTTTCCAACTCAGCTCTACTTGGTGCCAAGTCGTGATTCACCAGCAAGGCATTAAAGATGGAGATGTGATAGAAAGCAGCTCCTGCTGTGCTGCCTGCCTGATGAGGAATCTTGTTAAAGAGTGTATCTGTGACACTTCAAAGAAGTATCCTGCTCATCAATTAAACTGATCTCTGGGCAGATACTCTGTGCTGTGCCCTGGGGGAAACTTGTCACTGCCAGATTTTTCAATGTAGCAGTTCTGCAAGCAACTGACAGGGAAAACTGTTAGTTCCCAAAAGTCTGTGGATGAGGCAGTGAGAGCAATGATGAAGTTTGATCTGTGCAGCTATGAATTGTTATATTTGGGGTGTTATATGATCCGTTCCTGACAAGTAAATTCACCCACAGAACAGGCAAGCTGCCTGTCTGTTAGCAGCTTCTGTGGGACATGCCATGCCAAACAGTGCATTAATTACACTGCCGTGGTCATCCATGATCCAGCCTCTCCACTGTGAAATCAGTGAAATCTGATTTTAATCTCATAGTTTTAATTACTTTAATAAGAGATGGGGGTTACTTCCTTTGTTTATCTCTGTTTTAAGTTTAGAACAAATTAGATGTTAAGCCTCAGTCCAAATAACTGTTGCTGGGAGAAGGAATGTGTGGGATCAAGAATGTAATTTTATAGAAGCATCTTGAACTGCTAAAATTTTACTCCCTCTTTTGTACAAATAGTGTACAGGGCTAGCACTGGGCACTGTTCTGGCATGCCTACAGGAAGAGGACAAGTTTTATACATGGCATGCTGCTTTTTGTTTCCTGATGGCCTTTAAGATGAACAGGAGTTTTGAAATAAAACACTGACTTCAGAGAGCCCCTATGACCTGTCTCATTTAATAGCTGAAGTCATTACATTGGCTCCTTTTTTCCATCCAGCACTTCACCAATCGGAGAGATGAGTTTGAGGGGACGAGGGAAAGCATCCTGGTCTGGCTCACAGAAATGGACCTACAGCTGACAAATGTGGAGCACTTCTCAAAAAGTAACTTTGATGACAAAATGCGCCAGTTAAATGTACGTATCCTTATGAAGCAGCTGTTTACTATAGCCCAGTAATCCTGTTGGGCTGCCCTTGCCTGACAGAATCATCCGTTTTCTGTAACTTCACAACAGCCACCAGATCTCTGTAGGACTATGCTTGTTTGAAGACAGCAGTAAATTGTTAAGACATATCTGAATCAAGATTAAGCTGTGCATTATTGAATTCAGATTCAGTGTTCAGGCTCAGTTCTGTCCTGCCATTTTCTCCTGGCAATTTGTGTCAGTGACAGTAGTATCTGGCCTGGAAAGCAGCAGATGCTGCTTAACAGTAAGAGCTACATTCCTAAATTGAGGCATTATTTTCTGGTGCAAATCTTTTTTGAATTGGCATTATAGTACAATCTCTCTTTGGAGGTCATGTTTGTAGCTGGGAATTTCAACAGAAATTAGACATCAGGAACGTGCAGTGATTCTAAGGAATATACTGGTTCTTTCCTACATTATATGCTGGTTTCTCTTCTCTCCCTGCACTGTTATTGTTTTGGGATGTAGATTTACTGTTGTGTAGGCTGGAGGCCTGAGCAACCGAGCAAACTTCTTGGCTACTGAGAAAAAGATTGTGTGTACCCAGCAGAAAAATAAACTCTGATTAGCTGAACTCTTGTATCATAATCCCCTGCAGGCTCAGGACACTGCAGCCATACTGGTGTACACGTGGGTGGAAAATGCCACTTCATTTAGAGCTATAATTCTGCTCGTAAAACAAACCTTTGGACGTCTTGAACAAAAAGATATTTGCCAAATTAAATTAGACAACAATGTCAATTGCTGCTTATCTTTCACTGCAGCGAGCTAGAAAACAGAGACAAACTTTAGGCTAGAAAGAGCCAATGGAGAAGTAATTATTTTCCTTGTTCCAAATAGGGTTTCCAACAGGAAATAACGTTAAACACCAATAAGATTGATCAGCTAATCGTTTTTGGGGAGCAGTTGATTCAGAAGAGTGAGCCTTTGGATGCCATCCTGATTGAAGATGAATTGGAAGAACTCCATCGATACTGTCAGGAGGTGTTTGGGCGAGTTGCCCGCTTCCATCAAAGACTGACTTCAAGGGATCCTGTAAGAAGCAACAGTTGTTTGAATGCTTTGACAAGATTTTGGTGTTTGAATTGCAATGCTTATTTTGGTTTTTGATTGTGATTGCTTATTCCTAGCAGCTTGACTGAGTTGTTTGAGCTCCTGGGGCTCAGGAGCTCTGCAGTAGATGTGCCAGCCTTGCTAAATCTTTGTTGCCAATCCTTTCATGCCTCTCCATCTCTGCAGAATCTGGATAATAGCATTGAGGTTGATCATAAGGTTCAGAATTATATAGCTGTGGCTTGAAGGCTTCAAAACTTTTTTCGGTGTTTTTAATATCACTTTGTTTTTCATACCATCAATAATGTGCTTAGAATATCTCTTTATGTATTTGTCCACTCCATCTGTCCACTTTGTTGTGAGAACCCTGAATGGGGAACAGCATGCACTTTGCTTTTCCCTGGGAATTTCAGATTATTCTGTTTGCTTGGCCTCAGTAAGAAAGAACATCTGTTAGAAAGCCAGGTAAAGGAACTAACATGAACAAGTAGTTCACTCCTGCCTGAGCATAATTTCCTTACTGACCTGTTAAGTCCATTTGGAACTGGGTACTCTTCCTGCAAACAGGAGAGATGTTATGGTGGTGGTTGAGTGCCTTGAATGAGGAGAGGTAGCTGCTGATCTGAAGATTAGTTTTGACAAAAGAGGAAGAAGGCAGAAATTATGTCTCCCTTTAATTTTAGTCATATGATTGCTGCAGCTGACCACAACACTGTCTTCAGTAGTACTGAAGAAGTACTTCAGAAGTACCACTTCAGTGTGGTACAATCATTAGCTCATTAAGATGGTCTGTAAATCTTACTAATATGCAATAATTACTTATTTATAGGGATTGGACGATGAAAAAGATAACTCTGAAAATGAGACAGATCAAGAAGACTCCAGAGAAATCCAGAATGATCCCTGGCATAAGAAGGCCATCACAGAGGGGCCCTCATCACCACAGTCCCTTTGCCACCTTATGCCCCCAGCTCAGGGCCATGAGAGATCAGGCTGTGAGACCCCTGTCAGCGTTGACTCCATCCCACTTGAGTGGGATCACACAGGTGACGTGGGAGGTTCTTCCTCTCATGAAGATGATGAAGAAGCACAATACTACAGTGCTCTGTCAGGTGAGAACCACTATCCAGCAGTTTGGTTTGACATGGACAGCTGGAAGATGTCCCTGTGTGGGAAGGGAGGGGGATTGAAGTCTTGCTCCCACATTGATGGCTGGTTTTCAAGTACCATTAGTAGATGTGAGCAAACTCATCTCTTAGATGAAAGAAATGGTACTGTCTAAGCTTTCTTTTATTTTTAGAAACATAAGAAGGTTTTAGAAGCCTTACTGTTTAAGAATGTTTGAAAATGGTACCAACCACTTTGTCTTTGCTGTCCTTCATTGTTTCAGTTGTGTTTAATAGTTGGAAGATACTGAATAGTGAGGAAAATGACATTATTCTTTTTTCAGATGTAGAAATCACTGAAAACCCTGAGGCATATCTTAAAATGACCACAAAAACTTTGAAAGCATCTTCTGGTAGGCACCTGCTAATGCATGTGTCTGAACATGGCAATCTCCCTGTGCTGCACGCTATATTCCTCAACCTCTCTCATACGTAATGTCTGACTTCCTGCCTTGTGTGGACACCATGTCTCATCCTGTCATGGTGTTCTTACGCTGCAGTATCCACATGGACATTAAAAGCAGTCAAGAACACACCATTTAGATTTTGCCTGGTAAATGCCAAGGTGGTTAACGTGCATTTCATTGTACTGATCCAAAGTCTTTTGGTTCTTTCTCGGTGGTTTGCTCTGGGTCATATCAATTTTTTGGTTGTTTCTAATTTTGGTTGCATAACTACTGAAGGCAGTAGCTCCAACTCTACAAGTATTTTTTTGTGGTTTGTGCATGACAGAACTATGTGTGTCCTGTCTGTTAAATCCAGAACAAGCATTCTCCAAACCAGGACATGTCTAACTTGTTCCCTCTGACATGTTGCAGATGTGTGATAGTTACTGTTGGGATGCAAACTTTACAAAACCATGGTGCAGCTTTGTCTTTTGGGTTTTTTTTTGAATACTCTAACCTGTATTCAAGCATTTTCCAGAAGAAAACAGAATGTCCCATAACTGCATGGCTCTCATCTCATTACCTTTGAAACACTGTTGATGTTTTGCAAATGTGCATGCTTTGCAAGGAAAGCTGCAAAACTGTCATTTTTATGCCATAACTTGATGCCATTTTATTCAAAGCGCTTTCTAACTTAATACAAAGCAACAGCTTTCTTGTGGAGGTGGGATCTTGCACTCATGGTGTGTGGTTTTGGTTTTATTTGTTTCAGGAAAGTCTGTTTCAGAAGCTCATCCTTGGCATTCTTCGGGTAGCCCAGTCTGCAGGAAACACAGATACAACCAGGCAGAGATGGTTGGAAATGTGTTATCTGGACCAGAGACAAGTACTCCCTATAAACCAGACTATGTGAGTTGGAGGCTCTGTGGGCACTGAACCTGTACTACACAGTCTGTTTGTTCTGTGTAACTCCACCCTCTTCCCTTCTCCAGCATCAAGGAAAAGAATAGTTGAGGTGGGGAATTTTCACTTCACGCAAACTTAGGCATTATTTCTGGTGGCTCAGGTTGGACTCCTGGTCAGTCTGGAGGAACTTCCTTCCTCTATTGTCATAGGACAAGTCTAGGAGAATTTAACCCCCCCAAAGACATGTGTGAATGTCTTGATACTGACATATTTCCCTTTCCTAAGCAAATTTGAAGGGTCTTAATATGCAACACGCCATTTAATCTGCTTCTAGGCACTGAAAAATGTGCCAAAATGGCTCGTTGTCCATTGGTGCCTCAGCCTTGGTGGCCGTTTGCCAGCCATGGCTTCACCCTTGTCAGCACTCTTCCAGACAGGGTGGTACTGGTATCTGGCTGCTTTTGTCATCCAGAGCCCTAGAGTTAATATTGCCAAGACCCACGATCCAACAAAGAGCATCAGCAATTGTGCATTGTCTGGTACATGTAGTGCAAAAGCAGTTAATTTGCCACGTCCACTCTGCTGGTAATTGGCATCACCATGGTGTGTGTTTGTTTACTGGAAAGGCACAGAGAGCCAAGTGTAAACTGTTAGCAAAGCTGCAGGAGCCCAGTGCTAAATCTGATATGCAAGAGCTCAGCAGCAGCCCAGCTACCCAGAGGAACACAGATTAGGTTGGACCTTTGACATCCTGTTAACCTGCAGAGTTTACCCACCAAAATGTCATTCCAGGTGAAGCAGCTCAGCTCTGCAAGCAGTAGCAGCAGCAAGGAGAAAATTCCATCTGCCAGCATGAGCGATGAGGAGCCCCAAGATGACCAAGAACTTGTGAATCTAACACCAGCAGAGAAGCAGTCAGGTACAGAGCATTAGGAATGGCTTTGGGGCTGTGGTGTTTTTCCTGTGACTCTGGGGGGACAAAGCAGGCATGGCATATTTGGGATCAAAAGAAAAAATTAATGTATTTTGCCAAATTTCCAAGTTTCACTGAACTCCCTTCTCATCTGGTTCTGTCCAACCCATTTGTGCTGTTCAAAGCTTTCACATTTTCTGCCAGAATTGCGATTTTTCTTTCATAAAATACTTCTGTCTCTTTGCTGCTTGTAGTAAATGGAAACAATTTCACTTTTGTCTGATACTGAACACTTCAGGGACTTCTAATCAGATTTCAAACCAAAGGTTCTGTCTAAAATAAGATTGCTATGTAGAGTTATTGGTATTCCATATAACAAGATGCTACAGCTCCCACTTGGAGAAATGTTTTTTTCAAAACTGGTGATGCATTCTGTTCTTCAGTATCTTTACAGTGGTCCTTCCATGCAAACAGACCAGCAAGCTGGTTCTCTTGACCTTTTAGGACCTCATTCCTGGTTTCAGGTGCTTGAGATTGTAACAACACATTGTACTGCAGTCACAAAAGTAAATCGTGTGATAAAAAGAAGGCTGCAGCTACATGCACCAGCTTGCTTAGTCTGTTTCTCTGGTCTCACAAATGGTCCAGGGCTGTGTCCCATATATGGGATGAATAGGAATAGCCTGAGAATGGTTTAGATGTGCTTTCAGAAAGTGTCAGTGATCACAGTGATCGCCATATCCTTTAGCACTGAACTGATGAAACATAGAGTCATCAGAATGGTTTGGGTTGGAAGAGACCTTAAAGTTTTCTAGATCCAATCCCCCTGCCATGGGCAGGGACACCTTCCACCAGACCAGCTTGCTCAGAGCCCCATCCAGCCTGGTCTTGAACGTTTCCAGAGATGGGACAGCCACAGCTTTTCTGGGCAACCTGGGCTAGTGCCTCATCACCCTCACAATAAGGAATTTCTTCATAATATCTAATCTAAACCTGCCCTCCATCAGTTTAAAGCTATTCCCCCTTGTCCTACCCCTCTGCCCTTGTCAAAAGTCCCTCTCCAGCTCTCTTGGAGCCCCTATAGGCACTGGAAGGGGCTCTAAGGTCTCCCTGGAGCCTTCTCTTCTCCTTCAGGCTGAGCAGCCCCAACTCTCTCAGCCTGTCTTTACAGGAGAGGTGCTCTACCCGTTTCATCATCTTTGGGGTTTCCTCTGGGCTCTCTCCAGCAGCTCCACATGGACATAAAACACAAACTCCAGTCCTAACTGCTGAAATTTTGATGTTCACTAAGTCACAGCTGGGCTCATTGAATTCTGTCTCCTTAGATTTGGTCTGTTCTTCCAAGTGAATTAAAACAATCTCCAATTAATATCATTAAAATTCTGTGTAGCATTGCTATGTGGATAACCTGACCAACAATATGAAATTAAGACACTGCAGAATCTCAAGAAAATATGTGGCTGAATGATAGTAATACATTACAGCAGTTACTTGGTCTCAAGTAGAATGGAGAATAATTCTTTGGCAAAACTTCTTGCATATTTTTTATACACTCCTTCCTTTAGTGAAGATTTAAATGGATTTTTTCTATGATTTGCAGGCATTATTGATAGGTGGGAGCTCATCCAAGCTCAAGACCTCAGAAATAAACTTAGAATGAAACAGAAATTGCAACAGTGGCAGCAGCTGGATTCAGACCTCAGTGACATCTCTGCTTGGCTTGATAAAACTGAGCAAGAGCTGGAAGAGCTGCAAAAGGTGAAGCTTCCAACCAGCATGCAGGCATTGGAACAAAAGGTCAAGAAGTTGAAAGTAAGTTATGGCCTACTGAGAAGAGGGATTTCAAGATGCTGATGTTTTTTAATGACTGTTCTCCTGGGATCAGTTGGCAGCATGGATGCCAATAGCAATGTTCCTGTGCCACAGAGGAGCTGAGCTGCTCTCAGCTAAGAGGACTAAAAGAGGGTCTTAGGCAAGGTGCTTCTGTCTTCATATAGAGATTGGCAGGCAGAAATAAAAACCTTTCCACTTCTCCCTTTCTGTTTTCTTGCACAGTGATATCAGCAGCATCTTTTCCTTGTGCCATTCCCCTCTATGCAAACCAGAAACAGATTGAAAATTAGCCAGGTCAACAGGATGCAAAGTCTAGGCTGTTTTTTTTTTTTTTAATTGAATTGAGGCCAAGGTGTAATTCCAGCAGGAGACTGACAAAGATCTGCTCTGAAGCTGTGGCTTCTGCAAGCTGAGCCAGCAGGTTACCAGGGCACATATAAGTGCTGGGACTCAGGCAGTGAAATGCCTCAAGTTGAACTCTGAGAGAGCAAGTGTTCCTAAAATCTGTGAAAATGCAAAATCCCTGCGTGCTCAACCCTCATAAGCTGCCCCCTGTGGAGTCACCCTGAAGCTACTGGTCAGTCTGGTGTCACCCTTGGGGTGATGCTCACAGACAGGACTCTGCAGGACAAAGGAGGAATTTCTTAGGCATGCTGAGAGTATGTTTAAGCCCACATGTCCTGGAGTAGTTATTAGGCCAGGGACAACGACTCTGCACTCCGGTAAGATCAGCTCTGACTCCTTCAGTCAATCTGGGTTAGGCACCAAGCCCTGGGAATGGTTTGATGGTGCCTCCTGAGTGGAGGGAGGTGGGGAGGTGTTTCCCTTCAGCCTGCAGTTGGGTATCTGACCTCCTCAACGAGCAGAGCTTCACTTCTCTCTTTTTCAGCTGCTTAAGAGGAGTCCAGCTGGCTGTAAATCCCATTTTGAGCCAGTTTGGTTTTAGAGATGAATTTCATGAGGTGTCAGGACATCCCAATTGCCTGGGATAAGGATAAAGCCAGTCTGCCTACAGTCTTCTTACTTCAGAAGTCTGTTTGCTTTGTTTGATATTAAAAGAAACTTTATTGCCTGTAGGAGAGGGGGACAGGATCCTTTGATGGGTGAAAAGTAATTTAGACCAGGAGTTTTCTACAAGTGGAACCAGATCTTGAGAATATAAAGATTGACACTCTTGGATAGAAAGGCTGCTGAGAAAACCAATCTGAGCTTTGTGGCTAGTGGGATTCATCCTGCAGTTCTTACTTCCCTACTGTAAGAGCAGCTTGGAAAAGATTGAGTACCCTTGATTCAAACTGTAAACTGGAGGGTACAAGGAAGGTATTGTTTGGCATTCTTTTTTTTTTTAAAACTTCAGAAATACAGGCTCAGCCTTAACATAAAAGTGGTTAGCTGATATGACCCTGACTGCAAATTCCATATTATTGCCCCTGCAATTCTAAGGGAGAGGAGGAAAGCAGGCAGGACTGCCTTCTGGGGGGACCTCGAGAAGTCAGAGAAATGGGCTGACAGAAACTCAGACCAGAGAGAAAAAAAATAATTTCTCACAATGAGGTCGTCTGGTGTGGAACCAGGAGCCCAGAGGGGGTGGGGAATGTCCATTCTGCAAGATACTGAAAATTTAAATGGATGAGGCCCTGAGCATTCTCCTTGAAGTTGGTCCTGTGTGAAACAGGAGAACAGAATACAGATCTCCAGATGTCCCTGTCAGCATTATTCTAGGATTCTGGAGTGGAAAAGCCTTTATCAATTAGGAGAAAATAACATGTGATGATCTATGGGAGTTTTTGTCCAAATGTCAGGGAGGGAGGCAGCTCAGAGGAATTGAAAGGCAGATGTGGATTAAGCCATAATGCCTGTGACTTAAGGAGAAGCACAAGCCCAGTCACATTTATTTTCTTCCGAGTGAAGATTTTGGCTCAGTATGTTTCTTAGCAGTATTGAAAATCCACCAGATTCAAACATCCTTCCCCAATACCTGTGATGCTTTTGAATGTGTGGTTTTGTTGTAAATAAACACGTTTTTCAACATTCAACATAAAAGCTCCTAATCCTCTTTTTCTACCAGGACATGCTTAAAGCATTTGACAACTACAAAGCAGTGTTGCTTTCTGCTAACCTGAGCAGCAAGGAATTCCAGAAAGCAGACAGCACGGAGTTCAAGGAGCTGCAGAACAGGCTTCGGAAGGTCAACTTGCACTGGGAGAAGGCAACTCGTGCACTGGACAGCTGGAGGAAGGGTTTACAGCAAGCCTTACTGCACTGCCAGGTGCATACCACATGCCAGCTTGTGAGGAAAACCCTTTGGGATTCTGTTGAGGAGAGGGCAGAGTGGTAATTCCTGCACATCAGTGCAGTGGTCACTCACAATCCAAGACACTTTTTTTCCTGATAAAGTTGCCTCTGATGGATTGAAATGGTGTGATAAAAATACCTTTCAAGTGGATAATGCCCTTTTACTACATAAGTGGAATACTTTAACAAGGTTTCTGTACCCTCACTAACTGTGAATTTGTAGTGGCTCTGTCTAATCTGGGCTGGGTGTTTTGTTTGTAGGTGAAGGCACTGCAAAGGTGTTTTTCCTCTTATGTGCCAATCTTCTTGTTTCTCTAGGATTTCCATGACCAGAGCCAAAAGCTAATCCTGTGGTTAGAAAGTGCTGAAGGTCGGAGGAATGAGGCACAGATCACAGATCCCAATGCTGATCTCAACACAATACTGGAATGCCAGAAGGAGCTAATGGTAAGTGTAGTCTTAACTGCAGCACCTCAGCTCTCACCACACAGTGAAGAGCAGGATGTTTATGTCTCACAGTGTCTGCAGCCTGTCCTCAGATCTGCTGTGCTCAGGCATGTGGGTGGTTTTTGAAATGGACCAAGATATTGCCTCTATGAGACACTTTTCCATAATTACACATCATAATAAAGTTGCTTATGAGAGTTCTTTATGCTGGAGTAAGATTTTCAATTTCCAGAATTTAATGTCTTCTCTATATGAATTACCTGCTGCTAGAACTATTTTTAAATGTTAGTTCAAGCAGGTACAACCAGTCTCTTCAAGAGAACTTAATTTCCTATGTAGCTGTAATAACCATTCCTGTGCCTTGTGGATTCCCAGGCAGGTTGTGTTGTTCTTTAAAGCCTTCCAGAGTTCCTCCTTTTGGGAGAACATCCATGAAGTTGAGGGTAACAGTCTGTTGTGCTGTTTTTTGTTTGTTTATTCTCAGCAACTGGAGAAAGAGCTGCTGGAGCAACAGCTTAATGTAAACTCCCTCCAAGAGCTCACTGCTTACCTGCTGCTGAAACCAGATGGTGATTATGTTGAAGAGGAAGAGAAGGTCCATGTAATTGGAACAAAACTGAAACAGCTGATTGAACAAGTCTCTCATGACTTAAAAACAATACAAGGGAATCTGGTGAGTTGGAATTTAAATACTCGCTTGTGGATCTTCCTTAGTGAAAAGAAATAGCTTGTTAAGAGTGAAGGTATTTATTAAAAACTGACTTAAAGCTTAAGTACTTCCACCTTGATAAGCTGAAAAAAGAGCAGTATTCTGGCTGTAGGAGCAACTTCAGCACCCCAAGGCTAGTACAGTATTGTAACAGAGGGGTTGTGCTGCCTCTGTCCTTGAGGGGTTTGAAGAGCAGAGGATAAAGCTTTGAGTAAGGCTTTTTGTCAGGTCTTTGGGCAGGAGGTTGGACTAGATGAACTTCCTGAAGTCTCTTCCAACCTGAATTTGTGTGATCCAAACCAGGTTTCAGGCTAGGAGTGTGTAATGAACACATAGAAGTTGAAGTTCGTAGCAATGGGTTGCTTATCCTGAGGCCTGTCAGGGATATTTTCAAGTTAATACCTGTATGTACCCATGCCGTTGTAATTCCTTCAGGCTGGGCACTGTAAAGCATTTCTTTATTCTGGGGAACTGGTAATGCTCATGTGAAGGGGCAGTGGGCTGTGCACCTACAGATGCAGTGAAAGGTGGTTCTTTGCACTTCATTTATTGTCAGTTTTGAAATGTGCATTTTAAAGAGGAAGGTGGTGTTATCTTTTAGGATACCAAAACATTCCTGCTAGTTCCAGATGACTTGGACTCAGGAGTCTATAATCCAGAAGAAGAGAAATCCAGCCCTGCTGTGAAGAAGGCAAGTATTGTTTTTCTAATACTTTGCTATCAGCATATAGTGTATTTTGACATATTTAGTGTGGAAGTTCCTCAAGTATAATCATTTTACCTTTTAGGTCCATGTACCTTATTACAGCATTTACAATCAGACCTTAAAGTCTTCAGCTGTCTTTTCAGAGAAATTCCTTGTAGTTTCTGAAACCTGGATACTAAAAGCTATTTCTCTCAACAGATGGCCCTCAGGAGAACTGCAGATGGCAGAAATGGCAGCAGCACAAGGTAATATTTTATATATATGCCTGATCTCTTAAAAAATAGTGAATATGGCAGAGATGAGCTGTGTGCCAGCAGAAGCCTGGGCAGTTGTTTCTTGTAGGTTGACACATGGGTGGAGGTGATTTCTGCCCACCTGTAGAGTCCCCTCTCCCTACCAGCTCTGGGCTGCTCCTTAGGGAATGGTTTCCTTTAGCACTCCTGCTCCAGGACCTCTGCAGTGATGTGCAGCCCTGGCTCGAGAAAATATTTTTTGTGCCAAATGGGGGATATTTTAGGTTTAAATCCTCCTTCAATTCCACCAGCATGCCTGTAAAAAGAAACTTGCCCCTGAGAGCTACTGTACAAACAGACCATGAAGGACAAAGGGAGAACTTAACCCCAGTCCATTGGGGTCTGTTCAAAGGGTTGATTTCAGTAATGCCAGGGCAGAGAAGATCCTCATCTGTATGAATGATGTCTTTCCTTTTTGCTTCAACACCTGTTTGGAATGGTCTGTTTGCCATCTGAAAATAGGGTAAAAACAGTTTGTTTAACTCAAACTCTGAAGTGCCTGTTGTTCTTTGTTTCTCCTTTCCAGGAGTGAAAGCCATCCACAGCCCGTGCAGGCAAACTCTCAGTCTCCCTCTTTCTTCTACCGAGTGTTACGAGCAGCTTTACCTCTCCAGTTGTTCTTCCTGCTGCTTTTGCTCCTGGCTTGCATGATCCCGTCCTCGGAGGAAGACTACAGCTGCACCCAGGCCAACAACTTCGCCCGCTCCTTCTACCCCATGCTGCGCTACACCAACGGGCCCCCCCCGACCTAGGACACCCTGCAGTCACACAAAACCCTCTTGGGTGGTGCTTTCCTTTTCTCCCATGCTGCTCTAGCATCAATCAGGCAGCGAGTTTCACATCTCAAAATGTATATCTTGACAAAATTTCAGCGTTTTTGTACGGAAAACAGAACTTTTTCTATAGATTTTTTTTTTTTTTAAACTGTAAACAACACACTTTATACTTTGATGCAATAGATACACTATTTTATAGGGGCAGTGCTCTTAAGCTTGCAAGGTGTTTGGATACTGAGTTCTTAGATGCAGAAATGACATCACAGTAATCTTAAACATAGCAGTCTGTCTTGGGTTAGCACGACACAAACAGGTGAAGAGGGACTTCATTTAACATAATTTCTGCACACACTTCACGTTACTTGTATCTTTTGGTACTGTAGTCACTTGGTGGAAACAAAAATGCATCTTTTTGAATCTTTGTTACTGTATTTTATTCATCTAACACGTTCACTATCATGATGCACATTTGTTTTGTTTGACATAAAGTGTTCTAGTGGTTAGGACTGCTGTGTTGTCTTTTTATACCACCTTTGAAATAAGGAATTGCTGCATTTGCATGGAAATGGTTTATAATGCATATATTTTCTAGATGAACATGATTATGTAGACTATCCTTGATGTATACAAATAGTGCAATGACTTTTTTAACGAAAGTTTTTTTTTTCAGTTTTTAACCTGCTGAATAGTGTACAGTACCTTGGGAGAGAATTGTGCATTTTTCTAAGCTCTGTTTTTAAAATGAAACTGGCGTGTGGGCAGTGGCTGGAGAAACACTGTGTACAGTCAGCATTGCCACTGCCCCTCGGTTGTACAGTTTGAGTACTGTCATTAAAATTTTGCCAATGTCTGCAGGACTGTGGGTGTGTCTAGTGGGGGGCTCATGCTCCAGCACTGCTGCCCCTTCCACTCCTGGAAGAGGCAAATTCTTTGCCTGCTAACAGAGTGGTGCTGGAAGTAACACAACCACTCCCTTGCTTGTCAGAGCAAGAGGCCACAAATCCAGCAGTGGGACCAGTGTTCTGTGGCACAGATCCTTTCCTTTGCAGCTGATTTCCTGGAGGAAGAATACAAAGTTGAACCAAGTAATGCTTATTGACTAGTTTGAAATGCTGAACTATTTCCCACTCTGGAACTGACTTTCTATAGTGGGAGTGCTGGAGTGGGGAAATGCATGTGGAGGAGAGTTCAGTGCAGTAGTAAGGGCTTTGGTCAAAAGTTTTTTGTGTTACAGTGAAAATGACCCAGGAATTAACCACTTTGTGCAGTGCTTACCCATAGAAAATAAGGTCTGTGATTAGCCTGCGAGTGTTCTCCCACCTTTGCTACACTTGTCACCACTGGTGGTTGCTGATTCCCCATCTTCTGGCAAGAGGGGTTTACAAAGCAAACTACTTTGTCCTGATGTTCAGAGGATGGCCAAACCAACAGCTTTTTCCCAGCTATGGTGGCAAACCCACTGTGGTTTATTTCCAGGATATTAAACTAAACACATAAACTGTGTTGAGGTGCCAAACTTGTGCTCCAGCACCCACAGCTCTCACACTGGGGCTGTATCCAGGGATGGATCCCCCTTACCCCTCACTGCCCACAGCCACACACACTCTTCTCTCTCCCTCTGCAATCATTATTTGATATTTTCAAAGCAATTACTTCAAGAGCTCATTTAAGTTTCTTCCTCTGTAGAACTGAGCCAACTCTAACCATTATTTCATTGCCAGGTTGTCACAAATGCCCATGCAGACCTTTCTGCCAAGAAGTAATAGGCAGTTGCTGATGTGATATTCAGTTCTTCCATTAAAGAACCTGTGCAGGGGGAAAAATTGAACAATGTTAAAAGGTCTAGGGAAAATTTCATAGCCTACAATTTCCTTTCATTATGAACAGTTATATCAAATTGTTGAGCTGATGTAATATATGAAAAGCAGAGCTTTCAAGAAATAATCTCAAAATGTCACCGAAAAAAGATGTCTGGGAAGTAGCTTAAATCTTTTTTCTTCCACACCTATTTTAAATAGTTTTATTTGCAATTGATTATAATCACTGCACTGTAGGCTGACACTGAAGTCTGCTTTAAACAAGTAATTTTATATCCCCAACAATTTCTTTGTGTCATCATCTCTCTCAGGACTGGGGTGTTAGTGGCCAGGGAAGGAAAAATAAAGTATTTTAAAGAGAGGGCAGATGCAGTAGTGAGAGCAAGCACAACCCCATTGTGGTTGTGCAGATGCATTGAGAAATCAAACCAAGCCAAAACTAGTTTTGAATTGAAGTCTTAGTTTTTGTCAGTGAGATGAGGCCTCGGTGTGTTTTCAGCTGTACCTACCCCTCTCCAGCATAGTCAGCAGCACTGAGAAGGCTCCAGGGAGACTTCAGAGCAACTCCTGGTAACTAAAGGGGACCTGCTAGAGAGCTGGAGATGGGCTTTTTACAAGGGGATGGAGTGGTAGGACAAAGGGTGAGGGCTCTAAACTAACACGGGGCACCTTTAGATAAAGGTGTTGGGAGGAAATTCATTGCTGGGTGGTGAGGTGCTGGAATAAGCTGTGGTTGTCCCATCCCTGGGAGTGTTCAAGGCCAGGTTGGATGGGGCTTGGAGGAGCCTGGTGTGGTGGAAGGTGTCCCTCAGTCACTGAGCACACACATTCCGAGCTCATGAGACCAGGCGGAGCTCAGCTGCAGGAGAGAAATGAACAAAAAGCCATATATTTACATTTCATGGTGCCTGTTTAGTCAGCTGCAGCAATCCATAACTGAATGAAACACAGCAGTTCCAGAATACCATCAGTTCACAGAACTAAAGACAGCTGGGGGAAAGGGAGGGGCTGGGCTGTTGTGGGGTTGTTTTCACATTACCATTACATACATAAAGTGCTTTAAAAAGCACCACTTTCAGTCAGGAACCCGTTTCCATTACAAACTCACAGAGAGTGAAATGTTGAAACTAAAATGACAGGACTCAGAACAAAATATTTCTGGGAAACAAATGGAGATGTGCAGTAAGCACAGGTAATGGCTATGCCAGCTCCTATGTGACACTGTGATGAGTGAAGAAAGTTTTGTCTGTTAAGGCAGTAGCAGCAGATGCCAGCATTTTCATAGCAAAGCAGGCTCATTTTCTTCATGCACTTAAATCAAAATGCATGAGGAGTGTAGGTGACTCTTAAATGCAAGGATGGAGTTAAATTATACACAGACCATAAATAAAATAAAGTCTTAGCTATGAAAGTGCCATTTAACACACCACTACTACCACTACTTCACTTTAGTAGTAGTAAACTGTGAAAAATTAATGTGAATAATACTTACATTCCATATTGAAGCAATCCACTTGTTTTTCATGCTCCCATTTGCAGCATCTCTTTAGAATTGGTTTGGGCACTGGGTCAGCACAACAGATGATCACAACTGCTTTGCTGACCCATTATCTCACAGGACCTAAGTAATGCCAAACCACTTTTTCTGACATGGATGGTGATAATAGCAAAGATGTTTCCATGGCTTCTAGGCCTGAAATGGAAGTGTGAAAAGATGGCCTGGGGTAAATTTTGAGTAAACTGAGAAGTTATGTTCGCATCCCAACAGTACAGAAATTAGAGGGTGAAATGCAGTTGCTACTCCCTGGCTGGAGCATGGTTGGCATGTTCAAAACTATTGCAGAGTTAGTCCCCACACCCACAATCTGCAGCCAGAACCTCCTAAGGGGGATGGAATGGAGGGTGGGGTGGGTTTGGAGACACCTGGCCAGGCTCTGCAAAATCCTTGCAGGGAGAGGAGCTCTCCAGGGAGACTTGGAGCAGCTCCCAGTACCTGAAGGGGCTAAACAGAGCTGGAGAGGGACTTCTGACAAGGGCATGGCAGGACTGGACACTGAGGGTGGTGAGACAGTGAAACAGGTCACCCAAAGAAGTTGTGGGTGCTCCTTTCCTGGAAATGTTCCAGGCCAGGTTGGATGGAGCTCTGAGCAAACGGGTCTGGTGGAAGGTGTCCCTGCCATGGCTGGGGAGATTGTCCCTTTCAACCCAAACCATTCCATGGTTCTATGGTAAAAGTCCAAAAAAGACAAAAATTCTTACCTCAGAAGAGGATGATTGCTGGTGACAGCTCAAATAGGATCAACAGGCAACTTTCTGGGCCTCACTGTATTTTTAGGCTCTCCTAAACCACTGTAATGGTGCAAATACAACAAATATCTTTCATACTCCTCAGCTCATCAAGAGTAAAATCAAAAATTCCAGCACTTAAAAGACTTAAAAGGACACTCTCCTTTCATCATAATGATCCCTGTATAGATCTATCATTCAGTCAGCAAGGAATTAACATAATATGATTATGGAAATGTGCATATTTATTTTTTTTAAAAATCTTCAAGTGCTTAGTTTGCTAACCTGTCTTAGTTTGCTATTTTAAAGGAGCATTTACCCTGTTGAGCACTGTCTCAAGGGAGAATGTTTCAACACATTTACATATCTTTCCCCCACACTCTTCTCTCTGACTGGAAAAATGAGATCACTAAAAATGGATAATTTGAAGGAAGACAGAGGTGTGGAAAAGGTCTCACCTTCCTGGAGACAAAGCATTTCACCTGTCTGAAACCACATTTCTTCAAAAAAAGAGAAAAAAAAACCAGCCAAGGTTGTTTAACCATCTTGTTCCAGTTCCAGACTTGAGAGAGGAAACTCAGCGTGTTTTCCTTATGTGTGCTGTTAAAGTTTGGCCTTCCCTTCCTTATTTCTTTTATTTTATTTTTTTTAAACTCGTGACAGTTGTCCCTCTTGCCTGAGCCAGGCTTGCTCACGTCTGTGAACATGCCAGAACTGCAGCACGATTTCTCCAAGCAGCAGCAGCAGAAGCTGAGTTCCAGCCAAGCAGGGAAGGAAAGCAATAAACCAGCCCCTCCTCAGAGCCCCTGCAGGTCCTGGGGGCTCCTCTCATCCACACGGAGACTGGAAAAGCCCCAGTATCCAAATGGGAGCACAGTGTGACAGCTCTGCTCACGGCTGGCAGGGACAGGGATGTCCACACCAGGACTGCAGCATCTGAGACTGTCTGGGGGATCCAGAGCCAGAGCAAACCCAACATCTCTGTCAAGGCACCCTCGTTCAGTCACTGCCACACACCTCCCTGTGCTGCTCATCTCCTCATCCCAATATGAACACAGCCACATCAATGCAGACTCCACAGCTGTTGACTTTCACCCATTTTAAAACACCGTTAGTCACTTTTAATAAAATTATGTTCAACAAGACAAAAAGTAGGTTAAAATCACATCATTTTCCTATTTGCACTGTACTAATAGCAACATATATGAACACCACCACATAGCACAAAACTGCAGCATATCCCTTTTACAGAGTCAATCCACAGCAAATTTCCATTTAGAAGGTAATTTCATGATTTATACCCAGTCTTTCCCATTTTCTCTTCAAAAGGTTTGTTCCAAGATTGTACACAAATTCAACACTTTCAAAGCAAAACAAACAAACAATTCACTTAAACATTTCTTTGAAAAACTGTATTAAACTAAAAGATTACACAGGATAAAGAAAATCAGAGAAAGAGCAACACAACAGGCAGTGAGGCCAGAACACTATCAAGCCTAAGAAATACTGAGACAGGTTTGTTTCACAGCAAAACATCTCTCAAAATGAAAGTACCAATAAATTCCAGACTGTACTCACATTTTTTTCCTTTTTTTCATTGCAAATATTACACATCTTTAGAAGGACATGGCTATATTACAGTTTCTTAAAAACAATAAAAAGGCAGAGAGTAAAAATTTAGATCAGCAGCAGCATCTGGTATAGTACAAGATCAAAACAGACAATAGATGTGTAACTCACTGAAAAC